TAATTAATCTCTTTCTCACATCCCAAAGCACTGTCTCCACATTTCGCAATGAGTATTAAGCATCATTTTAAATGTAATTGTCTAGCACTTGATTTATTCACGGAAATTATGACAAAAGTTTCTAAACGCCATATGGTCCTGGTACTCACCTTTCTGTTTCCATCATTTGCAAAGCACATCTGGCTCCCTCCTCACCTGGAAAGGTCAACTGAACAGTTGCATTTAACAAATCAACCAGCAAATCCCTTTTGGAAAGCAATTAAATACACTCAAACTTTCACTCAACATGTGCACACATACATACACACACACACACACACACACACACACACACTCTCTCTCTCTCTCTCTCATACATTTCCCTTGGGAGGCGGAGGAGAGAGGACTGCCTGAACCCAGGGGTTTGAGAGTAGCCTGGGCAACTTGGCGAAACTCATCTCTACAATAACTCAATGCTGGGCATGGTGTTGCATACCTGTAGTCCCAGCAACTTGGAAGGCTGAGGTGGCAGGCTCACCTAAGCCCAGCAGGATGAGGCTGTGGTGGCTGTGAGCATGACACTGCACTCCAGCCTACGAGACAGAGTGAGACTCTCACTCAAAAAACAAAACAAAACAAAAAATTATTAACAACAAAAAAAGACTTCCTCAAACTGGAAAAGGACCGCCTTGTCTCACCCAACAGGTTAAATACTGCAGAGCTAACAGATTGGAACCACTTCTGACTACTGACATAGGAAAACTTTTCACTTTGGACTGCAAAAGTAAGTTGCTTTGTTCTTCCTTTGATACTGCATAAGCTACCTAATAGATAAAATCATCAGGTATGGCTTTGTAAAAAAGGATAAGAAATTCTGTAATGAGCAATTTTCTAAAGCAATTTTTTTTAGCCTTAAGAATCTCTAGCCCACTCAAAACATATCTGGGGTGACACTGAGAAAGTTAAGATGAAGAAAGAAGGAACCAAGGGAGATTAATAATTATGAGAATAATAGTTATCAAGGAAAAGAGGAAGGAAAAAGGGACTGATGGAATGCCACCTAAAATGGGATTGATATCTCTTGTTGAATCAAGTTCGTTAGGTTAAAAATCTCAGAGGGGCCTCTAAAATGTTTGGTCAGTATTGCAGCATTGTTCACAATAGCCAAAACATGGAACCAAACTTGCTGCCTATTGAAAGAACACTGGATTTTTAAAATGTGGTACATATATATGACGGAATATTGCGCAGTCATAAAGGACAAAATTATGAACTTCACAGCAACTTGAATGGACTTAGAGTCTATAATACTGAGTGATCTATCGCAGAAGCCAAGGACTGAGTATCACACGTTCTCACTCATAGGCAGACCTTGAACAATTATCATAATACTATAAGAAAAAGATTGGCAGTAGCGAGAAACTGCTGGGGCAGGCGGAGGGGAGGTGGGATTGGCAGTAGTGGGAATCTGCCGGGGAAAGGAAGAGCATATCTCATCAACATGGGTACCTACATAATGAACATTTGTATACCTAACCCTTAATTGTACCCCCATCTTTAAAGTTAAAAATTATAAAAAAAAAAAATTAGGTCAGGCCTGGTGGGGGCGTCTGGTTTGTGATCTGGTGCTTGCACAAAAAATTGCACAGAATTGCACAGAAGTTAGATTGGAAAATATAGTTAATTTAAAAAGAAAATTAGAGAGAGAGAGAGAGAGAGAGAGAGAGATTGATTCACTTCCCCAAGGTAGGGAGGGGGCAAAGCTAGGAAACATGGCAGCAGACATACCTCAAAGAAGTATATGGCCTCACCAGAGCTTACCAAAGTAATGACAAATGGCTGCTTGAAGTGGTATGCTTTTTAAACCTTCCTTTGATGGGGGCAGGTCATTTAGGTGATTAGGTGGTGATCTGTTCCACATCATCACAAAGGGGACAGGGAAGCACAGGTACTGGCATCAGGTGATACACAGCAGGCAGATGTGTGGGTCAGTCACTTGATTGCTGCCATGTTGATGGGGTCTGTGTCATGAAGGTCATGAAGAACTGATTAGGTTAACTTGTTTACAGAACAAACTGGGGAGGAGGTTGTAAAACAATGATCCATAGCTACCTCTGAGAAACCAGGTCTGTGCTTGGCTAGTAATTAGAGGGTAAATTAAAGTGAACTGCTAGAAAAACAGACAAAGCTAAGCAATATTAAAATGGCTGCTCATTGAGTATATTGACTCCATGTTATGTCCTTTCAAAGCTTATGATATCTATCTCTGGCCAAATTACTTATCAAATATCATAGTTTAAGAGGAAATTTTCTAGAAAAAAAAATCTTGCTCAAAGCCTCCTTTCTTTCCTGAAAACACGTGTTTTTCCTTTAAAAGAAAAAAAGGTGCATGTTTTCTGCTTTGAGGGATTTCATGCTGGTCTCTTTAAAAGTTTGTTCAAGACTCTTAGCTTGTATTCACTGTTACTTGCAAGTAGAGGTATACATCAGCCTTTGGGTTGAACTTTAGCCTGAACTTATGAACTAAGTACCTTGGAACTGATACACACCTTAGCACATATTATTAGGATACAAGGGCAGTGAACCTGGTGCTTGTTGCTCCTGTGGAATTTTGCTTTTTATTTCTCAGGTTGAAGAGCGATTCCCACAGTATTTATGGAATTTAGGTACATTACCTTCAGGATCCTGAAGCTTCCTGAAGTGAGGGGCTATTTGTTCAGTATTGTAAGAATGACTTTATCATGTTTAGTTGTTCTGAGGACTGTACAGAAACGAAGACTGGGAGTCGCCTTGTGAGTGACTTAACCTGGGAGACTCTTGCCTTCTCCCTTCCTCCTTCTTCAGTAATGTTTATGGTTTGCTTTCACCAAAGTTATCTTGCCTACATCAAAATTGGCCCGTGTGTCTGAGTTTTTGCCTTGATATTTATAATAATAACATATTCAAAATCTATAACAATTTTAATGATAAGAGGACTGTGTCTCAATTCAGTTCTTAATTCCATTGAGATAAGTAATGATACACTCATGGGAAATGGGAGAACCAAAAAGTAGATTGTTGAGACAGTCACTCAACTGACGTCTATAACTGTTAATAATTGATTCTCTAGGGAGAAAGCATTTGTTATGGATATAAAACATTTGTTGTGGAAACGAAGAGTTAAGAATTAGGCCAAGTTCTTTTGTTTGCTTGTTTCTGCCCCAAACTCCCTACTCCTTACATCAAAAATTCCAATCTTCCCATAACATCATGTTGTATACCATGAAGATACACAATAACATTTATTTATAAAAAACTTTATCATCACCTCCTCTTCCAAACAAGAACCTCTGGTACAAGCATCCTCGTAAAAAAGGTGCAGGGTGGTTTATGGTTATTTTCTTTCCCTGCTGAAGAAAAACTCATCATGAAATTTGTTCTGACAAACTAATTTCTAACAGTAAATTTTATTTTACTTTCACTTTTTATTTGAGAAACTATGTGATAGTTGGATGAAAGAAAATCAGAAGATCAAAAATATATAATAGATGGTCAGAAAATACAAATGTAATTTTATATTTTTTTAATTTCTTAAGTTTGTCTTACATGTTTTTGTATAATTCAACTTATACTGTGTATTTTTGTATCTTAGTACTTTAGGCGAACATCTTTACCTGTTGTTTCTTGTCTTTATAACTATTTCTGATATCTGCATAAACTTTCTCAAACTGAAACACAAAATGTAAGCATTTCTTGTCATTGGGTATTGAAGTTGCTTTTTTATTTTCTCATTTCATGCCTTCTTGTAGATAACTTTTGCAAATACCAAATGCTGAATAATACATAGTTTAATTTCTTGTCTGTGATCCAGACCATTTTATTGCACCACTTTTGTGCTCTAATACAGTGACGGTGTGTACTGTAACACATCACTTTGTGACAATCAGAATGACAACACAATCTCACTTACCAAACACTATAAAAGGACCAAAATCCATATATATTTATTTTCTTAAACTAGGCTAGAACCAATCCTTTTAGTGGAAATTATAAAGTAGTAAAATGCTTTATTACTGCTAAGACTTAATTGAGCACTGTACCAAAGAACACTTCAACTTGTTTTGTAGGAGGTTTTGGTTGATTCAATAGGATTAAGCAGACTTTTGACTTATTACCTCTGGCCAAAGTGACTTTTTCCTCCTTCCTTACTATCCCCTTCACAAAAAAAAAAGGATGAAATTTTATAATTTTATGAGAGGCTGTTTTCAAAATTTGATAGACCACTCTAAAGTAGCCTTTCAACAAGCAATAAACAAGAAAGAGAACTTCAACTTGGAATTTATTTTTATTCAGTGGGCTTTTGCTAAGGCATTACTTGGTACAGCATTCTTCACATCTTGGAAGACAAAAAGAACATAATAGCCACCTATTTGTAGGCTTTGTAGGGATTTTGGAAGAGAGACTTATGTTAAGTATTATAGAATTTGTATCATAGATAAGAGAAAATAATCTTGTTGAGAACTTGGTAAACCTTGCAGTCTTTATTATGAAATGCAGCATAATAATATATTCTGTATTTCTTTTTTTTAGTTATAAATGATGCAACTTGCAAAGCATTCCTGAAACATGAATCAAGAATAATATTTAAATGTAGCATAATCATTATACTTCTTTATCCATCAACGTGGCTTCATTCAATTTTTTCATCAATGTCCATATCTTGCATCCAATATTGGGTAAACCAAAGTGTATAGGAAGAAATACATGTTTTTCATAGTCATAATTATTTGCAATGAGAGTGCTAAGATTCAAGCACATCTGTTCTGGAAACTTTGTTGAGTCCAATAGAGCATCCCAGACACTATTCATCTCCCTTCTGATTCAATGTTGCTTGACTCTGAATTTCAGAGCACCTCCAGTTGTCCCGAATGTGCCATTCCTCTGGGCCTGGAATGCTCCAACTGAATTTTGCCTTGGGAGTTTTAATGAGCCACTAGATATGAGTCTCTTCTCTTTAATAGGAAGCCCTCGAAAAAATGTCACAGGGCAAGGTGTTACAATATTTTATGTTGATAGGCTTGGCCTCTATCCTTATATTGATCCAGTGACAGGCGCAGATGTGAATGGAGGAATCCCCCAGAAGGGGTCCTTGAAAAATCATTTGGACAAAGCTGAGAAAGACATTTCTTATTACATTCCAACAGACAGTGTGGGCTTGGCTGTCATTGACTGGGAAGAATGGAGGCCCACTTGGGCAAGAAACTGGAAACCTAAAGATGTTTACAGGAATTGGTCAATTGAGTTGGTTCAGCAGCAAAATATACAACTTAATGTCACGGAGGCCACCGAGATAGCCAAACAAGATTTTGAAAAGGCAGCAAAGAGCTTCATGCAAGAGACTTTAAAACTGGGAAAATCACTTCGGCCAAATCAGTTATGGGGTTATTATCTTTTTCCTGATTGTTATAACCATAATTATAATAAACCTGATTTCAATGGAAGTTGCTATGATATAGAAAAGAGAAGAAATGATGATCTCAGCTGGTTATGGAAAGAAAGCACTGCCCTTTACCCGTCCATTTATTTGAACACCAGACTGTCTCCTCTACAAGCTACGATCTTTGCACGTAATCGGGTTCAGGAAGCCATTAGGGTTTCCGAAGTACCAGATGCTAAAAATCCACTTCCCATTTTTGTGTATACCCGCCTGGTTTATACTGATCAAACTTCAAAATTCCTTTCTCAGGTAAGTAAATCAAGTATGGAGGCTATGAAATAGCTTTCACAAAAGGTGTTCAGTGGAATTGAATATTATTTTAGAACGGAGTGAAATTCAGCTTTTAATATCATTTAACAACGTCACATAAGGTAGTTCTGCAACACTATGAATGCAAAGTAAGAATATGTTTAGTCTTTACCGTAATCTCATGACCTCTTAGTAGGCATGGAGAATAAGATAGTATAGACAGTGTATGAACGCAGTGTCTTTTTATTTTATAGGCATACTCTCTTGTCAACATAAGTAATTAAAACAATAATAGTATCATTTTTTATAGTAAGGCAATGGCTATGTAAAAGATAGAAATAAAGTAGAGAAATATTTAATATTGTTGGGTCAACATGCTTGGCTTGGATGTTACTGTCCTGTGCATAGTGCTTTCATTTTATTTTTATCTCTTCTTTCTATCATATTTGCCAGGATGACCTTGTGAATACATTTGGTGAAAGTGTTGCCCTGGGTGCCTCTGGAATTGTAATATGGGGAAGCCTTAGTTTAGTGCGAAGTATGGTAAGTTGAATCGGTAGGAAATAGATGAATATACTTCTCCCTTTAATGTTTTTGAGGATTGTTTTGGTATTGACTAAGAAAATGAATAGTACTATGCTTGGCATGTAGTAGTAGGTGCTCAATTAATCCTGGCTCAATCAAAATACAGCTGAATGGTGTAAGGCAACAAATTTGTACCTGTTTCCCAGTGAAGAAACAAACAGTCAATGAAAGTAATTGAATTTCTCTAGGTTATGTGGCTATTAAATGGCAAAAACAAGACTACAGTGTCAGTTTTCAGACATGGTGTTTGGTATCAGAAGATAGATCTTTCTTCCTTTATTTTCATTCTTGTTTAATTCTCTTTATCAAGTCTTCATTCCCCCACCTCTGCAATCCTCTTGACTCAATGTAAGAGTAAAGCTGTTATGTAAACACTGATGAATTAGAGCTGAATTTTCCTTCTCTGAGGATGTGGAAATATTAATGATGAGCATGCCATGAAGAATGTCACATGAAGGTCATGGGTGAGGGTTCTTATCCTGGGACCTGTAGGGCACAGACTTCATACTCTAAAAACAGAAGAGATGCTTTGAGAGGAATTATACTTATTTCTTGTTCTCAAAGACAGAATAGCCATATTCTTACTTCATTTAAAGTTACTTAACATCAGTTACATTTGTGAAATCCTTTCAAGGTAATCTAAATCCTTCTTTCTATTTTGTATAATTCTACTGTCTCTAGTTTAATCTCCAATAAAAAGAAATGAAAGATATTAGTTTAGGGAAGGGTATATGTCCCTTGGTAAAATCTTTTATATGTAAGAAAATTATTTTAAAATTAAAATTCTAAGTATACTCTAATTTTATTGTTGTTTTCCCAAATCTATAAATTCCTTTCTCAAGGGTTCTATTCTTTAAAACTTTAGAAATATTTATAAATTCTTCATTCTATTTTCTTTCTTTTTTTTTTTTTAAAGAATGGAGAACTCTACCCTTACTCTGAGGAAGAAGGAATCAGGCATTCTTTAATGAGTATAATGATGTGACATACAATTTAAGTGTCGCACATGTTTTTTAATACCAGTTTAACCTTAGTTTCACATTCTACTATAATGCCTTCTAAACTAACTTCTGTATTATCCGTACCACAGACAGTTCTGTAACTTTAATATGACTATTTTCTACTTAAGTATACTGTTTCAAAATTGTCTTTTATACACTGTTGTGTATACTTCTGCTATCTTTCCCAATTTATGATAATTTCAAATGCCAGATCTATCACTACCTTTTTTCTGTGTCCTTTGTAATTAATCATCGTAGATTAGTTGGCATGTTTCCTCTGATTCATGGACAACTTGAGAAACCAGTAATTGCAGGTTTACTTGCAGTTACTGGAATTGACCTAAAACATATGTAAGTAAACCATTTCTTTTCATTTTTAAAATTCGATTTAGTGATTTAATAGTATGATGGGGGCAGCTCTACTAATATCAACTTTTAAGATCTGACTGTTAAATATTCAGGAATTTTGTGAGCCAGTTGTTAAACATAGCCATTATTGAAAATTAAATTATAAAAACATAATAAAATAAATTATGTTAGCTGGGCTCGGTGACTCAGCCTGTAATCCCGCGCCTTGGGAGGCTGAGGTGAGTGGATTGCCTGAGCCCGCAGGTTCGAGACCCGCCTGGGCAACTTGGTAAGACCTCATCTCTACAATAAATCAAAAAAATCAGCAGGGCATGGTAGCACGTGCCTGTAATTCTGGCTACTCAAAAGGCTGAGGTGGAAGGATAGCCGGAGCCCAGTGGGTCGAGGCTGCAGTGGCCAGGAGCGGCCACTGCACTCCAGTCTGGGTGACAGAGTGAGACTCCAACACAAAAAAATAAAAATAAATAAATAAATAATGTTAAAATTCAAGGCAATACATTATCAGTATAGCAATTATTTCATTTTACTGTTTTTCTTGCTTTTGAGATTACTGACATCTATTGTATGTGAATAAATGGAAATACTATATAATGATGTAATACTCCACACCAAACTACCATCATTTGTAATGGTGGTGTACTTGATTTCTAACTTTGTATTCAGTATTGCCAGGTAGGTAGCTCACAATTGGCCATGGTAGGAGTAGTTACACCATGGATATATATATAAACCAGGGTCATCTATTAGAGAGCCAATTTTAATATCTTTCCATAAACTACATCTTATGTAGGCTAATGATTCTCAAATCATTCTCATCCCTTTACTCCTCGTTTGGCCTTACCCTTGTCTCTGTGGAGTCAAGCAAGTAACTGCAAAGTTATCCAAGCTTGGGCTAAATTCGGATATCCTTGGTTCTTCAACATAGTGTTGAAGAATACTGACAGAGTCCATGGACTCCTGAAGCTGTAGCGGGAAGACAGGTCATGATAACTAGACTATTACAGGAAGTGGCAATTTTATTTACACCAGCAAGCTCGGCAGGCTAAGGCTCCCAGGCCAAGCCCCCGAGAAAGGGAGGAGAGGGGTCTTATACCTTTGTTTAGGTAAGGAAGGGAGATTGTGCTGAGCAATTACACATTTTCTTTGGAATTTACAAGTTGTACTCAGTAAAATCAGATCTTTCAAAGAACAAATGGTCTCCAGGAAATGCACAGCAAGCAGGGTTATAAACTGTCAACTTCAAAAGAGGGGTTTTGGATAAGTCTGTGAATAAGTTACTCTTTTGCATTTCCATGAAAGCTGTCAGTCCTTGGCTATTTGGTTTTTCTCAAACAAAACTGCTCTGGTGGATTTTCAGAGCATGTTGATTGATTTTCTTTTTATTTATTTGTTTATTTAATTTTATTTTTTAATCAATATTTTGTATTATGATGTTGTGGGGTACAGTTAAGGGTTAGGTATACAAATGCGTTTCATTCAGGCACCCTGTTGATAAGAGGTGTTTCCCCATCCCCAGACAGATATTTGCTACCGTTAATCCCATCTCCCTCCCCCCTCATAGTTTCCCACTACTGTCAGTCATATTCTTATAGTATTACAAAAGGAATACTTTTAACTGCTACCAGCCCCCTCTCTGCCACAAAGCTAATGAGTGATTGAAAACAATACACAAACAGGAAAAAAAACATTTGATGTGATAAGTACTATACACAGAATTAAAATAGAGAGCTGTGAGAGAGTAGACAAGAAAAACATCTGGGAAGGGCATTGTGTAATTTAAAGTTGCCATCTGAATGAGAAGAGGAAGTCAACCATGTTAAAAATTAGGGGCAAGAGCCTCCCAATCAGAGAATAATGAATGCAGTTTGAAATGAGCCATGCTAATGAAATAGCTACCATGTCTAAAATAGAATTGGAATGGGGGAGGGGGTTGTACAAGAGGAAGAAGGTGTTCTTCCTTGTCAGGCTGTGTACAGGTTAAAAGAAGTTGAAATTTATTCTAAACACCATTCAGAGCCATGGGAGAGCAGTGAAGATGGACAGTGTTGTTAGTCTTCTATTGTGTCCATAAAAATTGTAACAAACATAGTGGCTTAAAAACCAGAAATGTATTATCTCATAGTTCTGTAGGTCAAAAGTCTACCATGAATCTCAATGGGTTAAAATAAAGGTTCTAGTAGGACTGCATGCCTTTCTCGGGAAGCCTTCTCACTTGCTTATTTGGGTTGTCAGCAGATTCAGTTCCTTGTGGTTGTAGCAATGAGATCTCCATTATCTGGCTAGCTTATGGCTAAAGGTCATTTACAGCTTCTAGAGACCAGGGCAGTCCTTAACTCATAGTCCTCTTCTTCTTCCTTCAAAGTCAGCAAAGGTGGGTTCAGTCTCTCTTACAGTTTGATTCTCTCCTCCTCCTTCCATTTCATCTTTCTCACACTGCTAGAAAAGTCTCCACATGTTCAAGGACTCATGTAATTAGATTGAGTCCATCCAGAGAGTTCAGGATGATCTCTCCTTTTCAAAGTCCATAACCTTAATTGCATCTGCAAAGTCACTTTTCATGTAGGCTAACATTGTCACAGGTTCCAGGGGATTAGGGTGTGGATATCTTTGAGAAGCAGTTATCTTGCCAACAATAGATGATATCTCAAGGAAGGTATTCAAGGAATAGATTCAAGTGGACACTGCCAAGATTCCTTGACCTGCCTGCCAATCTACCACCACCACTTCCTTCGGTCTGCTGAAGGACTACCTTGGAAGAATCACTCTGTGGAACTGTAGATTGTAGAGAAAAGTTACTATTTTCAGTATTTTTAAAAGGACAATGTCCAGGTTTTAGAGCATACCAATCTCAAGATGAATCATTTTAGTTACTCATCACTCATACTCTGTCAAATTTACAAAAGAGCTGTCATTATTCACCTATAAATTGACTATATATAATATTTAATATATACTCAGTTGAACCTGTTTACTTTGAGCCAGCAATTGTTTAAACTTGTCTGACAAATGTGATACTTATTACATTTACTTATAACTTACTGAAGGCCACCTGGAGATGTGCCAGGCCCTATGCCAAGCACTTTTGCATGTATCGTAGTTTTTCATCTTCACAACAACCTTATGAGGCAGGTGCCATAATTATCCTTATTTTCCAGATGATGAAGTTGAAACATAACTAGGTTGATTATTTTGCCTAAGGTCACCCAGTTAGAAAACATAAACTTTGAAAACTTAAATTATTCCCAAGTTCCTACAGCTAGTCATTAATGGAATTCAGACTCTAATCAGGGCGAATGTACCCAGAACCTATACTCTAACATAACCTAACAGCAGTACTATTCTATCACCTCATTAGCTTGTGAATTATGGAGGTAGATCAAGGGTAGTATATGTTAAGCTGAACTGGTCAATTATTCAGTGGCATAAAATGGCATGTAAAATTTACTTACAAATGTTACAAAAAACAGGTGGAATAATCTTGTTTGTTAACATAAAAAGAATAAAATAGTTTCTACCTTTTGCTATGTCTGTTTTTTCATTTTTCCTTAAAAATTGCTTATTGCAGTGAGTTGACTCACACACGAACCAACTTCTCCTTTGATATTCTAATCATTTTATAATTTTACAGAAATCTTGCTTCATCCTGGACAATTACATGAAGACTACATTGAATCCTTACATAATCAATGTCACTCTGGCAGCCAAAATGTGTAGCCAAGTGCTTTGCCAGGAGCAAGGAGTGTGTACAAGGAAACACTGGAATTCAAGTGACTATCTTCACCTGAACCCAATGAGTTTTGATATTCAACTTGAGAAAAGTGGAAAGTACACAGTACGTGGAAAACCCACACTTGACGACCTGCAGCAATTTTCTGAAAAATTTTCCTGCAGCTGTTATCCCAACTTGAGTTGTAAAATGACAGCTGATGTACAAGACTTTCATGTTATTGACGTGTGTGTTGCCGACAATGTTTGTATAGAGGCATTTCTAAACTCAGCACCCAGTGATCAGTCTTTAATATTGCCAGAAACTTCTACTTCCTACAGTGTTTCATCCACCACACCAGCTTCATCTGCCACATCAACTGTTAGAAAGTACTTTGTTAATATTTTGTTTCTCACCATGAGTTCTTCTATAGTGAACTTATAATTCTATATGTTAGCTGAGATGAATATGTCCATTTTAAAGACTAATTAAATCTCTGAAAAGAATATCTCTTGCTGAGAATTCATTTTTGGGACTTTTTTCTGAATTACTATATCTAGTAAATGGTGGTTTCCTTTGAACCTGACAAACACTGATATTGTTACAGGTCCAAGTAAATGCTCGGTTCCTATCTCTCGACATCAATACATTGAGAGGAGAGGAACTGGCAGAAAGTTTATTTCTGAATTCAGAATTCAAGGAGCAGAACCTGGCTTCTGAGTTTCTGAAACAGGCCTGCTTGCCACTTAAATTTCACAGTCCATTGTCTTTTTTTAAATTAAGGAAGGTACATTTATTGAAAGATACGTTGTGAAGGGCCCAGTGGGCAGAATAACAACAGGAGTGTTTGCTGCCAGCTGCCACACAGTCTGTTTGTCTAAGTTTATGCTAGTATCTATACATTGACAATGTGACTGACAGAGCATCCTCTAGAACAGCCACTTTTTGTTAATAGTTACATTTATGGCCTACATTTTCAGGTGCCGGCTATCAAAAGGTAGCTCACAGTGTTATCAATAACACCAGACTGAAGAGTTAAATAACCTTGCCCCATAGCATAAGGGAGCTAACAGAGCCTATTATACAGCAAAACATTATTCACCACAGCATATTGTTGATTAGTAGATACAACACACAAAAGTCATATAAAATACAAAGCTTATAGTTATAAGGGTGCTATATTTCAAATCTGGAACCACTGATAAAAGAGAGTTAATAAGAGGGTAATTTTCCTCAATTGAGGGCAGGCTGCAGGGGATTAAGGCTCCTTTAAATGACCTAACAGGCAATGTATAGGAGATAAGGAAATATGCTTTCTTTGGATAATTCTCAGGAATGGAGGTACGCGCATGCCCACTCTAATGTTATGCCTTTAAGTGTTGTGGCATATGGGCATAAAATAGTGGGTTTCCATGTCAGAATCTTGTATGAATTCTCAACCATGGCTTCAGAATTTACACCCAGAAATCAACAGCTCACTTAAATTCTTCAGTTTTAGAGTATACAAACTCAAATTATCTGTTTCACTTGTAAAACTGCCAGGATTGTGTTAAGACCTTCATTCTGCACAAGATACTGACATTTTGATGAAATTAACATTGCCATGGTGTGGTTAAGAATTTAAAAGTAAAAATTTATTAGTAAAATTGACTAATAACATTTAGATAATCTACATATTTCTAATATTTCTCTGCTAACAATCAAGAGAGAAAGGAAGAAGGAAATGAGGATGGGTGCAAAAGAAGAAAACAGAAGGGACGAGATAAGGGACAATAACTAGAATTCTTTGCTTTCTCTGCTGTCACCGAAGACTCTAATTTGCACAGGATTGACAGGAGTATCTGTTGCATACACAATTAGCCATCAACTCTGTTAAAGCTAAGAGCAGTTAACTTGAATGCCTTACCTGGTTGGACCACCTCCTTTATGTCCTCTTGGCTCAGACATCCTTTTAGAAACAAGAAGAGATGAAGCCCCAAAGTGGGTTGGGATGTGCATAATCCACACTTTGCTAGGTACTCAGATTATTGTGCAATCAATGTGACCAAGATCTGAAACTCTTTGATGCATTAAATTTTCTGTGACAAAAAAGGAAAATTTTTTGTCACAGACCTCATTTCTTTGCTTAAGTTTTGTTTAATGTATGAATTGAGGTGGAGTTGCAACAAACAAACAAATAAAAAGGATTCAAAGTATTATATAATTTTAGGCCACAATATTTTTAAAAATTGAAATGCCTGTATAGTCTTTTGCATTGTGCTAGTTTGAAATCTGCTTTATTCTTTCCCTTTTTACATATAATAATTATACAAATTGATGGAGTACAGAGTGATTATTCTGATAGATACATACAATGTGGAATGATCAAATCAGGATAATTAGGATCATTATCACCTCATACACTTATCATTCCTTTGGGGACTTTTAAAATCTTCTCTTCTAGTTTTTGAACCTATACAACAAGTAATTGTTAACGACATTCACTTTACAGTGCTATAGACCTGGCTCCTTCCATCATTTGTATATACTAACCAACTTATCCATCCTCCCGTCTCCCATCTTTCCCACCATCCTCTAACTATAATTCTACTCTCTACTTCTTGAGCTCATTTATTTTTCTTAGCACCCATATGTATGAGTGAGAACATGTGACATTTGTCTTTTTATGCCTGGTTTATTCCACCAGCTTCATCCATGTTGTGAATGACAGGATTTATTTTTTTATGGCTGACATATTCCATTTTGTAAACATTTACTTCATCCATCCACTCGCTGATGGACATTTAGGTTGATTCGATACTTGGCTACTGTAAATAGTGCTGCAATAAACATGGGAGTGCAAATATCTCTGATATACTGATTTTCTTCCCTTTGGATAAATGCCCAGTAGTGGGATTGCTGGATTGAATGGTAGTTCTATTTTTATTTGTCTGAGAAAGCTTCATATGTTTTCCATAATACTGGACTAATTTACATTCTCAGCAAGAGTTCTCTTTTTTCCACATCCTCACCAACATTTGCTCTTTTTTTGTCTTTTGATAATAGCAATTCTAACTGGGGTGAGATGATATCTCACTGTAGTTTTGACTTGCATTTCCCTGATGATTAGTGATTTGAGGATTTTTTTCAAACACTTGTTGGAAATTTGTATGTTTTCTTTTCAGAAATGTCTATTCAGTGTTAGGGTACAGCAGGGACAGGGTGAGGGTGGAAAGGTGAGGGGAGGCGCGCAGCACTGCTGGAGCTCGCAAGCTGGAGGTGCGCGCTGGCAACCCAGTGATCTGAGTAGATTGCAAAGAACTGTGACACACAAAAAAGGTTAAGAAAGAAAAGTTTATTTAAAAGTAGATTAGAGAGAGAAAGAGAAGAAAGAAGATTCACCTCCCCAAGGTGGGGGAGGGGGACCAAAGCCAGGAAGCATGGCGACTGCCATGGCTCAAAGAGCACGTGGCCACACCAGACTCTAACAAGGCAATGGCCGCTGGTTGCTTATGGTTGAGTCCTTTTAACCATTATCCTTGATGGGGGAGGACCATTAGGGTGATAGGGTGGTGGTCTGCTTCCACATCATCATAAAGGGGCAGACAAGGGTAGGTACTGATGATGTCAGGTGATGGACAGCAGGCAGATGGGTGGGTTAGTCATATGATTGCTGCCGTGGTGGGGCTTATTCATGTCATGTAGGTCACGAGGACTGATTAGGTTAACCCTGTGGTGGGAGGATTCCTGCAAGAGACTCGTTAGACATTTGCAATTCACAAACTCAGACATTTGCAACTCACAAACTCTTATGACTTTGGCCTTGACAAGGAATCAAAAGTTTACTAGAGATTATTATGCTAAACCATGAATGGTTGGGCTGTCGTGAACTTGTATCTGAAGATTTGCCAAAGGGGATGGGATAGGCTGCTGTTTGTCCTGCAGTACAATGTCTGAATGCTTTCTAATGGTTATGCTGAGACTAAAGAATAGGCTAAGTTTCTAGGTTTCTATAGGTACCTTTCATTCAGTCCTTTGGCCATTTTTCTTTTTGATGGGTTAGAGTTTCTTTGCAAGTATTTTCGTCCATTCTACAGGTTGCCTCCTCACTCTGTAGAATATCTTTCCTTTGCTGTGCAGAAGCTTTTTAGTATAATATAGTCCCATTCATCTACTTTTTTCTTGCCTGTACTTTTATAGTGTTACCCATAAAATCTTTGTCCAAATCAAAGTCCTGAAACATTTTTTCAATGTTTTCTTCTAGCAGTGTTACTGTTTCCTGCTTTAACACTTAAATCATTAATCCATTTTGAGTTGTAATTTTTTTTCTTATAAAGTCATTGCTGCTCATGGCAAAATAACATAAAGTGGAATAATAAAAGTCCTTTTTACCTGCTCCATCTACCAGTGACAACTCCTGGTTAGTTTTTTATATATAATTCCATAAATTTTTTAGGTCTATAGATGCAAATGTAAATGTATATATTTAACACAAATTGGGCTATGATGTTCATAACGTCATATAATTTGCTCTTTTCACATGACAATATTTTTGGTATCTGTTCATATTGGTACAGCTTTGTACTAACCACATCACACTTCACTGTACTACTTACTATAGGACAATTTTAAAATTTCTTGTTAATGGACATTTTGTTTTCTAGAGGTATTTTTTCTCTATTAAAAATTTTATATCATGTATAGTTTCATGTATATATATATAGGCACACTTTGGCGAAGATGAATTGGATTTGCTGATATGAAGGGTATATACATTTCAATTTAGATAGATATTGCAAAATTATCATCCAAAAATTTTGCTTCAACTAATGATGTAACAGTGAAAGGGAGGGCTGATTTTCCTCAACAACACTGGGCTTTTTAAAATTCTGAGGTCATTGTTCATCTGATTGATGAAAACAGCATCTTGTTTTAACTTGATTTTGAAACAGTAATATTGACTTCTTTTTCATAGATTTCTATGGGTATTGTTTTTCTTGCCAATACCCCCTCTTTTTTAAGAGTAAACTTTGTTTTCTTATTTATACTTAAATTCTATCTTTGGAGATTGTTGTCCATTCTAAAGTTTAAGGTATGGTTCTTCAGATACCACAGAATATACTATGAAAATAGAAATCAAAGACCAGCTTTAAAAAGAACATTTTATTTTTTAACCTCTGTACATTCCATATGTGATTTGACTGTGATAAACATTATGATAGTTGTAAGTACACCAATAATAAATAATTACAAATTCATCTACCTACAGAATCTTATTGCTTTTATAAAGTGATAGAGCTTCACAAAGTTTGGGCAAATAGCTCTTTTATAAAAAGTATAATTTAAATAAAATCCTAAAGCCATACGCTCTTAGTTTTTCACAGGAAATCCAATTCTTGGCAGCAGGATGCAGGCGCAAGAACAAGCTAATTCCAGTTTAGCAATATGTAAACTGTTAACTCTGG